AATAAACAAAATCAAAACACAGTTACTATAGGGACAAAACAGTCAACAGAAAAAAATGACAGCACAAGCTCACCCTCTGTCATCCGCACTCGACATGAAACATGTGACCTATGTAGACAAACCACACCCATGTGACAATTAACGGAAGTGCTCAACAAATACAAATAAAAGTGACGTAAACAAATAATAATAATACAAACAATAAGCTCAGGCTATGTAGCATTTTGGCTCCTACACATCAGGAGTGGGAAGACACAAACCAAACCACAAGTGTAGTCCCATCTTTGTTTCAGTTCACGAACCTTGGTAAACGGAAATTAAAAAGCTTCTTTAAAACCCAACTTGCATGATTTTTTCCCCCTTGCCATATAAGTACATATAGGCCGTGTCTTTATCCGAATGCACTAAACCCCACGAGTCTCATCTTTTCTCAATTTCCTCAGTTTTTCTTTCTGTGATGAACCAGATGTTTCTCTCTCTCCGTGCATTTTGTTTTGGTTTAACATAAGTATTCAGCAAAGACGTCTGCTTCTAACGGGCCATCATCCCAGGAACATCTTTCCCTATTTTGTTAATGCATATGGACACTTCACATTTCAGACCCTGCACACACCTGCACGCACCTGTGTACACACACACACACACACACATACACACACACACACACACACACACACACACACACACACACACACACACACACACACACACAGAAGAGAGATGAGTGATGGTCTTTGTACCATTTCCTAAATGTGGTCTCCCTCTCTGCTGTTCCTTGTCACTTTGGCCCCTTTCAAATGATCCATTGGGATTAATGAATGTAATTTCCACAAATGAATTCCCCCTATTCACTCATAATGGGCTAAACCACAACAGTGTTTAGCTGCTGCATCTGTCCATTGGGTGTCATCATCATTGGGGTTGGTAATTGACTATTCGTAGTAAACAGCTCCTTCTTTCCTTTAGCCCGCCCTCTGTTTGAGCAAATCCACCACACCCCGTGGAAGTTAAGAAATAGAAAATGATTTACCGAAGAGCAAACGTCACAGTGCATTCAGGCCAGTACATTTAAATATAATTGGTCATGTTTGTCTCATATTTCTGCGTGTGAATGAGGGTTTTTGGAAGTAAATGTACTTTGATCATTTCCCCATGCGTACCCTGTGTTTGCTCTCTATCTGTACACTGTGCTCTTCATGTTTCCTCTGCTTCCGATTTGAGCGCTCAGCAGGGGGTTGTGGGTAGAGACTCCCACTGTGAAGGATCTCTCTGACTCAGGCAGAGCTGAAGGTCAAACACACTCATGATCAGAACCACAGGATGACTCTGATTATAAATAAAAGTGCTGGGATGAAAGCCACGGAGAGAAATCCTGTTCTTGTGCTTGGACTTGTTCAACATACACACACACATACAACAAGAAATCAAATGAAAAGAAAGTACGATTTTATGTGTTTTAATCACCCGATACCAACTTTAAACCATAAAGAATGAAATGTTGTCATATTCTCTGCAATGAATATTAATAAATGTAATAATGTGGAAATATGAACAACAAATCTGTCTTTCTCAGAAGTTAATTTTGTGTTTTCTCTTCCTGTTTGTGTTTATTCTCCCTTCTTAATTAGTCAGACCCTTGACCGGCAAAGCAAACGGGACGAGAACAAGAGAAAAATAATCTGTTTCTTTGGAATGGAAAACTCCTGGAGCCCAGATGAAGGTTTTTGTTTTTTTCTCTTTCGCAATTTTGGTGGATGCATTAGCATATTTCAAAAGTCTACCAAAGAAAATAGCCCAGGGCAGAAATGGCCGATCTGCATATTGAAGACTCAACAGAGGGCGAAGAGCGGGAGAGAGAGAACGAGAGGAAGGGAGAGAAAGTCTTTGAGTAAATGATTTGAAGAAGATCTAAAATAAACAATAACATAAATTAGCTGACAGTGTCGTGTTTATTATGCCGGATTAGTTGCAGTATTCGCTACAACTAAAACTATTTGCTTGGTTGTGAAGCAGTTTCTCTGTGTGTGTGTGAGAGAGGGAGAGAGAGAGAGAGAGAGAGAGAGAGAGAGAGAGAGAGAGAGAGAGAGAGAGAGAGAGAGAGAGAGAGAGAGTGAGTGAGCAGAGAGAAAAATGTGCATCATAAGAAGGCCTCTTCACCCAGCTTCCTTCATGAATAACAAATAGAGACCCAGCGCTGCGACCAGCCAGCACAACACATGAAAAACATTAGAGCATTCCCTCAGTCGTCTGGTTTCTCCACATTGTGCTGCCAGGCTGGAAAGATGTGAAACTCTGCGGCGCTTCAGAGCAGCTTCTCTGATTTTACTGAACACGGCTCAACAATAAACAGGTTTTATAGACTGTGGAATAAATAATTGCTCATTTTTTAAAGTTGTAAACTTCTCTATTAATACTTATACATCTGCTATGATTAATAGAAAGCCATACAAAACTGTTGTTAATATTAATTTATTTTGTATTGTTATTTTAAGAAATGGCCCTCGTATTCTTTTACAAATTATTTACAGATGAATTACTGACAAGTGCAAGCCATTATTAAAACCTCATACATTGCAATATTGACAATAACACAATATATTGTCGGGTTATCATGAATGGGCTCAATTAGTGAAATCTTAACTTTGATAAAAAACGTTGCCATATCTGGTGATCTATTATCTCTGTTACGATATGAAACATGATTCCTGGATAAACTAAATGATCATGCACTTTTCACATCTGTTATATATTGATCTTTGAATGTCATCTTTATCATTTACTTAATCACTATTCACTTCATTATGGTTTTGTTTAAGCTACAAAGACAATGTTATTCCAGAAGGTGTTGTAAAAAAAGTTGAAATTGTGAAAAAAAAGTCATTGATGAAACGCAAACCTAAACTAAACATTTGGGGAATTTAGAAAGTAAAAGAAAGTGTGTTTTATGTGGTGCATGGAAACATTATGTGTGTTTTTAATTTACCGGGTAGAGCACTGTACACAGTTTAACCACAAAACATCTGAAGAAACGCTGCAGAGCATCTGGAAGACAACTTGTGTGTTAAAAAGAAAGACGTTTACATTTTTCAAGTGGTATTTGAAAGGAGTGCGTTGGATTTTATTTATATTCATTCTTGTGACATTACAAAGGTCAAAGGGTAACGCAGATGTATTCCATAATTTAAATAAAGCAGACTGTAAATGCAGAATGTCTTATTGTGCAATGTGTTGTGTCATTCAGTCAGTGATGTCTTTAGTTGAGTTAGTTTTATGAGTGTCGTTGTGCTTACTCTGCGATAAACCCCAGGCCCCCCTCAGCATTACTCACTGAGTATTGTGAATTTAAAGTACTTAAAAACAACCTAATAATAATAACAGGATATGACATACACATTTCTGCTTGTGCTGATAAATCATAACACATGTGTTTGCGGTGCATTGTAACCAAGTACAGTTAATCAACTACTATATTCAAGTTCAATTTTAAGTACTTTTATAAACATCTATTCCAGGTAAATATATTACTTTTTACTCCAAAACATTTATCTAATATCTTTAGTGACTACTAACTTGCAAGTGATGATATTTAATAATAACTATAATCGACAAATAAATTAAGATGTATATGATAATAGATTCAACTATCTTAAATTAAGTCCATCTTTACCACTAGTGGCATTAAAGTGACGTTGTATTAATAATTATAATGCAGAAATATAAAATATAAAATGTATATTCTGAATATTCAGTAGGCCTATAGTTTAACTTTTGGTAAATTCTTTATAGATGCATATACTTTTTTCAAGTTAGTTGCAGGACTTTTACTTATAACATACTTATCTAAAAGCTCAGAGTACTTCATCCACCAATGTATATTGCAACACATTTGTGTTACTTTCTTATATTGCAACACATTTGTGTTACTTTTTTCAAACTTAACGACATCCTAAAACTAGATAAGTCTAAACATACGTTTGAACATGAAAAACTGTACATGTATAATTGTGGATTCAAAATTCAAATGTTATGGTAAAAGTCTCAGTTTATGTTGCAGGCTGAATTTGTGTGTCCATTTATCTTTTACCTTTTGGATGAGATCCAAGACAAATCCTGAGAGCTGAAAAACATAAATTAGCACATTTATTTTGCTGCACCTGGCTCTCTCCTGCAGTCACAAAACGTCCTGCTTCTCAGACGGTGCTTCACCCTCTCAAGGCCCGTGAAACTGAGCCAAATCCGTGGTAGAAAATTCGACACGACACGTTTGTTTAACAGGCCATCCAGAAACTGACCCATGGAAACATCCAGAACTGGGGTGTTGTTTTTTGAAGGATGGAAACTAGTGCGGTGCGTTACGCCACTGTGGCCTTCCTTTACCATATGAAAGGGAGAGTGCATTAAGATGCAAGAGGCGTACCAACAGCGTACATGTACCAAAGAGCCAAGGATCCTTGACACCAGCCTCGGTCACTGCGTTAATATAAAAGAGAAACCTTGTTCTGTATATACATTTAAATATACTGCACTGCTTTCTGTCTTAGCCTATTAACTTCAGTGGCTTTACCCTCATAATCTGTGTTAAAATAACAATAATATTAATAATAAAAATAATAAAAATAACCAAACCTAACCATTACCTATATTATTCATTATAATATCATCATTATTATTTTGTATAAATTAGTGTTATTTTGTTGTTGTTGCAGGATTTCCATCTCCAGCTATTATCGTCTGTCTTATTTCTATTGTAATATTTGTCTTTATTTTTGCTTTTATTCCTGCAGCTGTAACTTTGTGCACCCGAGGCTTGACTGAGACACAGCTCCTCTCTGACTGCGCGTCCAATCAGCAGGAGCTCTGCAGAGGCTTTCTGTTGTAATTGGATGGAGATGGGAGAGGAATACGCAGCCTTGGCACAACGTAAACACATGCTCGTTTTCTTCTCTGCGCAGAGGACTGGTGGAGCAGTGAGCGAAACTACCGAGAGGACCAGACAGACTTTACATTATTTTTATTCATTTAATTGCTTTAAAACATTAATATCAGTGGTTTTAGGTGAGTCTGCTCCTCGTTTTGGCACAGGACAAGGTGTTTCCCATCAGCTCCGTGGATTACGCACGGAGGAGCTCCCGGGACAGAGAAAAGTTTTGAAGTTTTGTTGAACCGGAATGCTGCACAATCTAACCAAAATCACCTGAGCCTCTATGGAGTGACTTCCTGCTTTCTTTAAGACTGCATTTATGTATGGATTAGAATAACATTTACCAAAGGAGAGAGAGAGATATCTGAAGATTTATGCATTGGGGGATGGCAACAGCCACCTCCAGTCCTTACCTCGCCAGCAGCAGGATTTTGTCCAGCCCGGTGCTTCACTCTGATCGGAGGGTCGGGGGCATGCAGCCGGGCAGCACTGCTGTGACCACGGTGTCTAGTGGATACAGAGGGGACCCTTCAGTCAAGATGGTGCAGAGTGATTTCATGCAGGGAGCCATGGTGGCGAGCAACGGGGGGCACATGCTGAGCCATGCCCACCAGTGGGTGACATCGTTGCCTCACGCAGCAGCCGCAGCAGCTGCAGCCGCGGTTGCAGCAGCCGAGGCCGGCTCCCCGTGGCCCCCCAGCTCCCAGCCGCAGGACGTGAAGAGGGGCAGGGAGGACCTCCATACAGGCACCGCTCTGCACCACAGACCCTCACACCTGGGGACGCATCAGGCGCACCAGGGAAGTTGGGGAGGCTCTTCCGCGGCGCACATCAGCATCACCGAGGGGCAGCAGCAGCAGCAACAGTCGCTCATTTACTCCCAGCCTGGGTTCACTGTCAACGGGATGCTCAGCTCCCACGCCGGGCAGAGCCTCATGCACCACGGGGTGTTGCGCGGGGAGTCCCCGGAACTCGACCACGGGAACCACCATCACCACCATCACCACCACAACAACAACAACCACCACACGCACCACAGCCAGCACCACGGGGTGAACCACGAGCCGCACTCAGACGAGGACACGCCGACGTCTGATGACTTGGAGCTTTTCGCCAAACTGTTCAAGCAGCGGCGGATCAAGCTGGGCTTCACGCAGGCAGACGTGGGTCTCGCTTTGGGCACCCTGTACGGCAACGTGTTCTCACAGACCACCATCTGCAGGTTTGAGGCGCTCCAGCTGAGCTTTAAGAACATGTGCAAGCTGAAGCCTTTGCTGAACAAGTGGCTGGAAGAGGCCGACTCCACCACCGGGAGCCCGACCTGCATTGATAAGATGGCCACGCAGGGCAGGAAGAGGAAAAAGCGCACGTCGATCGAGGTGAGCGTAAAAGGCGCGTTGGAGAGCCACTTCCTCAAGTGTCCCAAGCCTGCCGCACAGGAGATCACCTCTCTGGCGGACTCCCTGCAGCTGGAGAAGGAGGTGGTCAGGGTCTGGTTCTGCAACCGCAGGCAGAAAGAGAAGCGCATGACGCCGCCAGGACTGCCTCGCACCCCGGAGGACGCGTACTCGCAGGTGGGCAGCATGGGACCGGACACACCGTCACCCTCCATAGACTGCAAGAGGATGTACAGCGACACGTGAAAATAACTTACCGGACAATAAATCAGAACTTTTTTTTAGATAATATGTCATGTTTCCCCAAATGATAGCATAATTCATAACATTTTCTTACATGTCCCCATGTTCTATGGTCCTCAATAATGTTGTTTCCAAGTTGTACTCATTTGAGAGCAGAACACTTTTATGCATCCTTTGGTATTTTCCTGCACTATGAATCAGCCTTTGGGACAGAAAATGAAAAAAAGTCTGAATAGAAAATTATTTAAAGTTTATTAATCGCAATGTGTGTTCACCAAAAGAGCCTACGGGCATTTTATCAATCTGATACCAAGAGATTCAAGGAAAAATGTTTCCAAATCTTGGTAATGTTCAACATAAAAGTTCCCCTTTAATGCTGCAGAGTTTGATGTCCCACTGGCTAAACAGGGTTATTGCCTATGTTTCTTTTATAAGACATTGGTTTAATGCGCTTTATTCAGCATTAAGTGTTTTTTAATGAGCAATAATTTATCTTCCCTCAAATGTGTTTCTAACTTTTGTGTTGTGTGTCAGTGGATTTGTGTTGTGACACAGTCAGTGATCAAAGAGCGACTTAAAGTAAAACCAGTATTGTGTTTTTTCATTCATAGGAAACTCCTTTTTGTCAAAATAGCAAACATTCCCTTAAGTTTATGTACAAGTTAGTCTGCTGTGTATTCTCTGGTGATGATTTGGTCTATTTATTTTCCACTGTGTTTATTTTCATGGAATAGACAAATTATTTAATAAATTTGACTTAAGAAATAATTGTGTTGAGATACCTTAGACTCACTAACACCCACACACATGTATTCTGCTGCTTTTCAGTGGGTTCGGTCAAACAAACCGCAAAGTTATTCGTGACAAAATGTAATATCTGCGTATATGTTAAAAAGTCTAAAAAATAATGTTATTCTGCCTTGGCTTTCCTCTTAATAGTTTCTTATTGAGAACAATGACTAGTCAGTTAATTAAAATTAAAATCATAAACTCACAGAATAGTTAAATCATTCTTCAATTTAATAAAAAAAAACATTGATTTGCTGTTTCCAGCCTCTTTGATGGGACAATATGATAGTTTTTGGCACTAAACGGACATTTACAGTTTTGGACTGTTGAAATACAAATAATTAACATATTCTTTAGCAGTCAGAAAGCTGGTAGCTACAACTTGTAAATGTATGCGATGTCTGCTGGAACAAAGCTGTTTTTCAAACCTTTAGTTATACTCTTTGAAAATAACTCTGCAAAGATACAAATTGACGAAACAGAATGAAACAAGATACCTAGGAGGTTCATATAAAGCAGTCACACAAATAATAATCATAATAGTAATACATTTAATTATAGAGTGCTTTTCAAGATATTCAAAGACACTTTAGAGGGTGAGCATTCTTAAAAACATCCATAAAACAACACACTTAAAATATGCAAAACACAATCAATCAAAGTGATCTATTACAACATTTCCCAGCTTTTAGGCCTCCTAGTTGTGTTCACAATATAAATTACATAAAATAAAACAAAACAAAACTCAATTTCCACAAAGGGAATGCACCTAGTGACGCAAAAGTGAAAAAATAAGCAAAAACAGACTGAACAAAATGACACGATATACCAGGTCAGGTTCAAATAAAGCATACAGTCACATACATATAAAATAATCTGTTTCCACATTTCCCAGCTCTTATGTGTTGACACTATTGAATGTGATTGAACTCCTCACATGCGTCTCTCCTTGGTGTGATATACGCTGCAGCACCATACATCCAGTGGACCGAGCTCCTGGATCGCAGCCAGCAGAGGTCGGCCATCCCAGCTGGCGGTTCACCTCGGCAGCGGTTGCCAAGGTGACAGCGAGATGGAGGGACACGAGGCGGCGGGTCTTTTGCCACAGATGATGGGTTTGGCAGATATACATGTAGGCAGTAAGAAGCTCAGGACGCTGGCTGTGAGAAACAATCTGTGTTTTACTCTCTCTGTCTCTGATGCACACAAACAAACAGAAACACGTCAGCTAACGAGCTAATACTGCAAATCTAATGTCGTATTGATATGTGGAAGATCATTTGGGAGTCGTGGAAAAAAAGGCCAAAGGGAGGTCAAAGGTCGGCTGTTACAGTAGCTGCGAACAAACCAAACAGAACACACAGAAATAAACACAAACCTGGAAGTTAATGTTTCACTGCAAATGTCACATTTAGAATTTTTGTTTGAGTACTTGCCACTGTTTATCTTTCAGAAGCTTCCACATGGACATAGAAAAACAAAAAAAATGTGACTGATACACACACTTCTGGTAACCATGTCATTGTTTTTATGAATGTTCGTCACTACCAGTGTCAGACTGAGAGATAAATCAACGTGTTTCTAAGGTGTGTGTGTGTGTGTGTGTGTGTGTGTGTGTGTGTGTGTGTGTGTGTGTGTGTGTGTGTGTGTGTGTGTGTGTGTGTGTGTGTCTTTGCTGAAATTTGGCAGGATTTAAGGGGAAACTCGTATAAATAGCAGCCTGCCTGCATGAATGGGTGGCTTGAATTGGTCTTTAGCAGTAACTCTTGGTTAATTTTCAATCCCTTAGTAGTAGGTTAAAGGGGAGACGATTAAAAATAAAGAATACATGCTGAAACTTCACCAGTTTGTGTGACTGACACAGAAAAAAGCAGATACAATAGATACACACAAAAAAAGGTTTTGATATAAAATCCTGAGAAAACTGTCTTATTATTTATAAGAGTGATTAAAAATGGCTTAAGTTTCAGATAAGTTAGCCAAATAAGATTTTCACCAGACGATGATGTTGAAAGAAATACTAAAAACACTTTTACTGACACATTTCTTCTTCACGAAATGATGACGCTCAAAGCTTGTCAGCATTAAGTAACTGAATGTAAAACAGCTAGAACACACAGCGCTCGGTCATGACAACCTATCCCAGTCTTCACATAAACACACAATGTTAATGTAAATGAACCATTCTGCCTGCTCTCAGCTACACATCAACATCACACAGGGGTGGAAAGGTGGCACCACAGCTCACAGTAATCATCTACCGGTCCCTTGTAACATGATGTATTCCCCCTGAGCTTCAAAATGCTGAATTTCTGATAAAAATGGAGGCGAAATCTAAGCTCGCAGAATTGCAGTGTGATCCCCTCAAAGCTTAGCGATGTAAAGATGAGAGATATGGCTGGAATTGAGGGATAAAAAGCCCTTTAAAGGGGGTTTGTCATCACACAACGCTTAGGTGTCTTCTCTGAATATTAATGTGGGGATCTGAAGGTAAAAGCTGATGATGTTACAGTAACCTGAACCCAAAACCATCAATCAAAAGAAATGGCTAGGCTCACATGAACACCCTGAAACGTGTAGAAAGTGCTTGAGCATAATGTGGCACTTACATGAGGTATTATCACCACTGGAGTATTGTTTCTTTCATCAGTGAAACAGTCAAAATGTTATTAGCTCCCCCAACAGAACATGCTAATATGATTGCTCATAATTGCTCTTAAAGCCTTGTTCAGAGGTACTTTACATAAGGCAATTATGGCATGATAATCCCCTTCTGCATGTTGTTTGTGACTCACAGTTTGGGCCAGTGTTACATACGCACAAACTAAAGAAAAGCAGGTGTTAATGCACAACTATTTCACTGTGGGTTGCACATTATCAGTCCTCACTGGTTGGTGTTAATTATTTCCACATTGCTGAGATGGGTTAAGCACTAAAGTCTAACACTGATTAACACACTGTGGCTTCCTCAGTGTGAGTTAACGCTCATGAAGTCAGAAACAGCGGCATGCCTGTATAAAAGTCAAAATAATTTATTTTAGATTCTTGTAATTTTCTGTGGGAATGTATTAAAATGTCTAAATGTAACAGGGAAACTAGTCCACACAAGACTCAATCATCTCAAAGTCAATATTATTACGTGTGTGTGGAGTCTCCTCTGAATATTCTGATTTAGTGGTTTTCACTGTTTGATTTTTTGGTGAATGATGGAGTACCAAAGTCTCCCCATCAGGAAGACATTAAAGCAAACATCTGTGGAATAATGGAGAGGGAAATGAATTCTCTCACCAGCAAGCTTGTTGTGTGGGTGCCACCGAACGTGACGAGCATGCATGTGCCAGACCGCTGGAGTGGAACTGGTTTGATGGGCATGTTCAACACATGGGCACGATGCCAATTTAGACAAGCATGCCCATGAAAAAGATCTCCGCCTGCATGCTAATTGTGTGAGTGTGTATCCGTACGTGTGTGACTGAAAATACAACCGTTTTCTTATAAAAATCAAAATGAATTACAATAAATTCCATTCAGCAACTCTGTTTGTATCGATGTGTTTTCTGCACATCTGGATTCAGCCAGCATTATATCAATGATGTCTGAAAAACCTCCTTAAAATACAAAGCGGTATAATTTATTTAATAATTTATTAGGCGGCTGCTGGAAAATTAATGATGGATATGTGATGTTTCAAGAAGAGGTGGTGCATCTTTGAAAAGTGTAAATGAAAAAGAGATATACTATAAAAACCTAAACATACCAACACATAAGGGTTTGCAGAAAAGCCTCAACTGAAGGCCAAATGCATGTAAGACACAATGCTGCCATCTCCTGGACAAACATCATTGATGCATGTTTGTGAATGTTTACTTTGCATGAGGACACTGTTCATATGGCATATACAAAAACACAACGAAACTGTTCAATTAATTATACATTATAAATTATAGCTGTTCAAGATAAGAAAACTAGAATTAAACTTTGGATGTTTTAAAGAAGTGGATGTGTGTCTGTTTATGCCATGATCGACTGACAACCCAACATAAAGACTGACTGTTTAATTAATACATGCATAATGCTGGAATTCATAGTTATGTGATAAGGAATTCAAACGTCCTGAAATTAGTGTTAATTACAGTAAGGTATTTTTAAATCATATTTCTTTGAATGTGTCCTGTTTTGTTCTTACTGCATCCCTTGGTGCATGGCTAAAAGACCAGAACAATAATCTAAATACCCTTTTGATGAATATTTGTGTTATGTATGTGTGTAAAAATGTAAAAATTAGGCCTTTGAAATGTGCTTTATTGTTTTAGCTAAAATGTTTTATAAACTACCATTTGTTTTAGTTGCTGGCATTTATTAGCTCATACTTTAAAGTACATGCATATATCTTCTTATAATGTGCATCTTTTACAAAATCCAATGTACAATCTGCTTTGTAAGTAGCCTACTACATTTGACAACATGTAATCAACTATTATTATTAGCTGTGTTAGGTAAGAGACTACCTTTTAAAAGACACACTTGATGTTAAACTATAATGTGTACACAAACACATTAACATCACACAGATAACAAAGTATGCATTAATTAGCATCCAATATGATACATGCTGCATGTCTGAAATGAATGCACCTCGCACTGCTCCTTTAAGTCAGGGACCACCTGCTCTCCTCGCGTCAGCTTCATCCGCAGGAGGCACGATGGCGATCGATCCGGCAGGAAAATGTTCAAAGTGGAATATTTTGGGAAAAGCTCGACATTCACAGCGAGAGAAACGCGATCGTCGAGTCAGGAGACAAGCATGAAGCCTGATCACAAACCTGACGTCGAGGTAGGCTTATTTATATTTAGTAAATGCTATCTGATCATTGCTTTAATCCCCTGCTCGTTGCTTACAGGTGAAAGGTTGTCTTTTCTCTTTGACGTCTTTTATTTCATGATGGTCTGCATTGACAGAAAGGCTGAGTAGACTAGAGAAACACAGGTGATGGAAACAGGCTCTTATGTAAATATGAGGAGGACACACTGTACAGGCTCAGTGCTGGTGCCATGTGAAAACAATTATGTGTTTTAATAGTGTAAGCAATGGATTATTGAAATAAGGATACATATAGTATGGTATCTTATGTACGAGGTTGTAAAAAAAGGAAAATAAACCTGCATCAAGGAGCTGATACCACTAATCCTCTTACATGTATTACTGCATCTGGATGCTGTTAATCATAGACACATGAAAGTGAAAAAAATGAACAAATCGATATTATAAAACTCTAATATTTCTCTATGTTTGTATTGTCACATCAATCTCAGTCAAGCAGCAGCTGAGGTAAACCACCTGTTTTTGTTGCAATAAGCAGCCAGGAGCCCCCTGCAGGGCAAAGCTGCTCATTATCCTCTTGACCTAATTTGCACCCGATCATTTGAAAGGTAAAAATGTATTACAATTCAAAATGTATGCATCAAAGTATTACATTGTTTTAAAGACAGTAAGCAATACCTCATAGTAAAAAAGCAATACAATTACGTAAACATTCATATATATTTTTTTAAATGTCACAAACAAGCTGATTAATCGCTAATCTTTATTGAATACACAAACAATGACATAAACAAGATCTCAAAACAATATTTGTAGTGCCTGACTTTGAGGCATTTTTGCTTAATTAAAAGAATTAAAAGAAGAAAAAAATATGCGGTAGACTGAAACGCTAATTGTTTTATTCCTAAATCCTGTGAAACGTAAAAGGGAAAATATTTTTGCTCATAAGGGATGAGAGAACAGGCTGCTTGTTGCCATGGAATTGGTGACCTTGTTGCCATGGCAACAACGAGCAATGCAGTGGCCTATAAGGATGCTTGTGCAAGAATGTAGCTTCAGTCGCTGCAGGCACCGTTTCATCCGTTTTATTTAAAACCATCATTTATTAAGATTAAATGTGCACTCTTGACGTTTGTTTATCAAAATGTTATAAGCGATATGTTCTGATTTTTGAATTCGTACATTGGATGAAACTGTGTTTACCATCACAGAAAAATCAATGAATCCACAGGCCATTTTTTACAGAAGATATTTTGAAATGTCACAGTATAAAAGCACAGTTATTAATAATTTAAGGAACGATGGCTGCTTCAGTTTTAGGATGCTTCATGACAGCTGGCTTACTATCGCTCTGCAAGGTCTTCCTGGGACGTCTGGATAGAACAAAGGCAATGATCGTTTTATAACCAGCAGCTACTATGACAAGTACAAATATAGAGCTAGAGCTGCCCCAATAAGTCAATCAACAGAAAATTATCAGCAGCTATTTTGATGACTGTTTAAGTGAGTAAGTTTAAGTCAGGAAATGTGTTTCTGCCTCTCAAGTATAGAGATGTCTTCCTTATCTCTGTTTTATATCATTATAAACTGACATTTAAAGACATCACCTTCATCTTTGAGAAACTGAGGTGGACATTTTCACAAACCAATAATCGATATATCTTGAGAATAATCACTAAATCAATCGATGATTTGAACATTTTTTATATTCACCCCTAAACCTAAACTGCACTATTGTTATTCTGTTATTCTATAATCACTGTTATGTGCAAAACACACATATTACTCTTCTTTCAACCATAGACTGTAGGCTCTCAACACCATTATATGTTCACTTATCTTTTCAAAATGCTTACTTACTTTTGACCATGGACGTGTACTTATTAGTTTTGCCTCTATATTTAATAAATCCGTTTTTTTAATCTTTTATCTGAACTGTCAATTTCTCTGTTACACTGTATGTTCCCCCTCTGTAAGACAAATGAACCTTTTCTGATCTCTCATTCTGATTTATGTCATGGAGGTCATGATGTTTATCTGTTCTTCTTGTCTCCCAGTTCCTGTAGGAGCCCGTCCACCTGCAGGACAACCTCTGAGACCAACGTATCGCTAACGCTGTCCCACTACCAGGATGTGGAAACCATAGCAACAGACAAGTCCTGTGTGTCCTGAGGATACCTCTGTGTTTTATCAAAGTGTGAAGCATTATCCAAGACTGGGCTTCTGCTGAGTCTGAGGAAGACAGGCTATATCATGGGTGTGTACTACACTGCTGTGTGAATGTGCGTAATTCTCCTCATGTGTGAAGCATTACATGGACTGTGTGTGCTCTGGGTTGGTGGTGTGTGTGTGTGTTTGTTTATGCACCCATGTGAGTCAATACAGCTGTTAATCATCAACCAAATCCAATCTCTGTGAGCAGCACATGTCTTTCCTATGTGACGATACCTCTCATGTTGTGGTGTGTCTGACGGTCTGCTTATGTAACTTCTTCATCATCTTGGGGAGTCATTCCTCCTCTCACTGTTTAAATGTACAATTATCACTGAGTAATAGATCATGCAGCAGCTGAAATCCTCTAGTCAATCAGTCTGTGGTATCTGTTATGATCTTTACAGCAGTCTTTTTCAATATAGTACTCTTAGCATGCCAAAACAGTAACCTATATGCATCATAACAAAACATTTCTATTGCTCTTAATTATGTGTAATTCCTTTTTTCACTGCACTGCATCACCAAGTACATTTTCTCTGATTATACGTAATATACTTGAAGGATAACGCAACTCTGATTTAAAGGAGACATATACAAAAGTTTCAGGTTCATCCTTGTAGTTTGGGTTTTCTACTAGAACATGTTGACCCAGAAATTGTTGAAAAAAACTAACAATTGTTCTTATACCGTCTCTGATTATATCTATATTCCTTCTCACTCTGTTTCAGTGCCTGTCTCTTTAAGACCCCTCCAAAAATAGCCCAGTCTGCTCGGATTGGCTTGTAAGAAAATATGGCGCACCTTTTCATAGGTAGTTTATAAGTAGTGAAAGGTAATTCTCAAGTAGTGAGGGTATATATTTACGAAGCTCGTATAGACAAAGGAAGGGGAACCAAATCTGAATAACATGTTGAATCCCATGTTTTGTAACCAAGGCAACCCTTAAAAAGTCTTATTCTACAGTTTTTGGGATGGTAGGCTCTACGGATACCAAAATGAATAGGCACAAGCGCTATAAAGAGTCATAACATGTCCCCTAAAGGAGAAAGACTACACATTAATGTAATGACTGTTGACTTTTTCTGTCTCACAAAGTATTCTTTGAAACCCAATTTGACTATATTCTTGTCTTTCTATCTCAGATATTGCCATGGAAGACCAACTTTTGGAGGACATTGTAATGTGCACACCACAACATTAATCAACATGAACCTTCTTCTGGGCTGACATCCCTCCATAAAAGCTGCCATGGCTTTTTGTAATGAAAGCCTGCTGGAGGAGTGCAGCTTCCTGGGGCCGGACAGTGTGGAGGAAGCAGCAGAAAGTCTCCCTTCAGAAGCTGCGACTCCCCTCATATCGGTCACTCTGCGTGTGACCCTTGCCGCCATAATGATCTTCATGATAACCATCGGATTCCTCGGCAACGCGATCGTGTGTCTGATTGTTTACCAGAAACCTGCCATGCGTTCTGCCATCAACCTCCTCCTCGCCACGTTGGCCTTCTCGGACATCATGCTCTCCCTGCTCTGCATGCCCTTCACTGCGGTCACCGTGGCCACCGCCGACTGGAGCTTTGGGAGCGGGTTCTGCCGGGCGTCCATTATGCTGTACTGGCTGTTCGTCCTGGAGGGGGTGTCCATTCTCCTGATCATCAGCGTGGACCGCTTCCTCATCATCGTGCAGCGGCAGGACAAGCTGACCCCTCACAGAGCCAAACTGTTGATCGCAGGGTCGTGGCTGCTGAGCCTGTGTGTGTCCCTGCCCTCTGTGATCGGGTGGAGGACCAGTACGGCGGGTATTGGGGGATCCTGGGCGCCGCAGTGTGTGCTGGGATACAGTGATTCCCTGGCAGACCGTGGATACACAGTGCTGTTAGCAGTAGCAGTGTTCTTTGTACCTTTCACTGTCATGCTGTACTCTTACATGTGCATCCTCAACACGGTGCGCCGCAACACCCTGCGCATCCACAACCACACCAACGAGCACTCCTGCCTGCCAGCCCTCAACCAGGTCAGCAAGATGAGGCTCACCGGGCTGCAGCGGCCTCCTCAGATCAAGGTGGACATGAGCTTCAAGACCAGAGCCTTCACCACCATCCTCATCCTCTTCGTGGGCTTCTCTGTGTGCTGGTTGCCTCACACGGTGGTCAGCTTGCTGGCGGTGTTCAGTCGGCAGTTCTACTACAGCTCCGTGTTTTACCCCATCAGCATAGGCGCTCTGTGGCTCAGCTACCTGAAGACGGTGTTCAACCCCGTCATCTACTGCTGGAGGATCAGGAAGTTCAGGGAGGCCTGTCAGGAGTTTATACCCAAGAGCTGCAGACTGTGTCCCAGGGTGCCGGGCAGGAGCCGCAGGAGGGTGAGGCCGAGCAATATCTACGTGTGCAGCGAGACTCAGTCGGCTGTGTGAAACCAGTGGGCTTTGACACCCAGAAAAATAGTTTGGACTCCTTGTCCTCACAATAAAGCGGTGCAGTGATGACCTCGGCCGACCTGGAAGTTAGCATTGCAAGGGTTTCCTCTGCCAAAAGTGATTACTGCAGTAACAACTATTCTACCTGGGATCAACATAAATGATAAGACATTAAAACATCACATTCTTGACTATCCACAATAGAGTGGTGCAGGGATGAAGTATTTTATAGGTAGACCCAGAAGTTAGCATAGCAAGAGTTCCCTCTACAAAAGTAAAGGATTTTTTCATTGGATTTTGGTATACTGCAGAAATTAAGTTATTTGGCAAATACACATGTATGATACTTAACATGTTTTGTTCAGCAGGATAAACTTGACGATTATCACGACTTTGATTTTGAGCGTAACTGCAACCGGCAGAAGTAGAAAGCTATCAATAGGCTATAACAAACTACATCCTTGTCACGTGGCTGCAGGTCATCACCGCTGAGCTAAAGGCAGACTCAAGTGTGGGGTGATGACGTTTAGTAATCTTATTGAGCCGTTTGTTAGCAACTACCGTTTTTATGACACATAAAAGCTCCGGAAATTCACAAGTTGTTTTTTACTGACGTATTTTATGTTGTAGAAAAACCCGTCAGAATCTCATAAGCTTGTGTTAACCAAAGACCTTATTTCAGGCCTCTAACCAAAAGAACGTTTTAAAGAAAAGGTACTGTGCTAGGTCATTGCTGGGTTTAAGAACTTTTTGCTGTATAGGCAATCAGTAATGACCTTAAAATAATATACTGGTTATTGACTAAAGAAACTCACATCAAGAATGAACTTCCTTTTATAATCTTTAAGCCACTATGGATGTAACCATAATATCACAGATATTACAATTTGAACAACTCCATGACAATTGGACATCCACTGAGGAAGGTCACGTGATTTAATTGAAAGCTCCATAAGTTTTTATTATTAATGTTCCTGAAACGTACTGCCATCCAAACAGTTTTATATCCTTCGTTGTCAATTCACCTCTTTGTTTCCGAGTTTGTGACTGAATTGTTTCATGAATGTTATCCTGTTTCTTCTGACTGATAAGTAGTTGTGATAATAATTATCTTGTGAGTTATGTGATGAATTTCAAACAAAAAAAGCATACAGGGTATTGATGTTCAGCAACGTTTTCAAGGGACAGTCTGTAAGCTTTTCAACTGACGTCTTATTTAAAAAATACATTGTTTAAAATTATATCTGTGCAGAAACACAACCTTGTGTGATTTAAAATTGTAATTTAAAACCATGAGTGTAAACAAAGACGTGTGCCAGTTATTGAGCTGTGAATGTTTACTTGAATGTATCATTTTCCCATGAATAACAAAAACCAGGTAAATAAATGCAATTTTTAAAAGATGTTGCATTGACAGAATGCTAATTTCTTTGGGTAAAAAACAAAAGGCTGCTTTTACAATGTACAAAAAAACAAATAGGTTGCTGGGATACTAAAGTCATCCTTTCACTGTGAGTGGATGTCTCCTTCACTGAAGACAATACACACAACGGCTTGTGTTTAATTAATTCTATTAGGCAAGGCAAGTTTATTTATACAGCACCTTTCGGCACACGGCAACCCAAAGTGCTTTACAAAATAAAATAAAAGATAATCAAGAATGAATACAGTGGAAGCACATTAGAAAATGGCATTTAAAGACAGGCCTTTAAAAAGCAAAGATAATAAAATAAACACAACTGTCACGATCTGTCTGTGTTGTGTTTTGTCTTGTCTTTTTCTGGTTTCCTGTTTTGTTTTGAAATGTTTTCCTCGTGTCTTCTCTGTTCCTTCTTCCTGTGTTTGCCTTCCTGTCTTAGTTTCCCTGGTGTGTCTGATTGTTTGATTGTGTTCACCTGTTGCCCTTGTGTTTCTGCCTCCCTTACCCCAGCTGTGTCTCGTCTTGTGATTACCCCTCTCTGTATTTAGTCTTGTCTCTTCCTGTGTTCCCCTGTCGGTTCATTGTTTGTTTCTCTTGTCTCCCACCATGTTGGTCACGGTCAGTTTTCTGTAGAACCTATGTGTTTCATGCCTTGCTATTGTTAAGCTTTAAGAATAAAGCTCGTTTTTGTTTCAAGACCGTTTACCTTTTCTGTAAGGATGCGTGGAAGGGTAGGACCCAAATGCAGACTATCAGAAAAGGTAAACGGTCTTGAAACAAAAACGAGCTTTATTCTTAAAGCTTAACAATAGCAAGGCATGAAACACATAGGTTCTACAGAAAACTGACCGTGACCAACATGGTGGGAGACAAGAGAAACAAACAATGAACCGACAGGGGAACACAGGAAGAGACAAGACTAAATACAGAGAGGGGTAATCACAAGACGAGACACAGCTGGGGTAAGGGAGGCAGAAACACAAGGGCAACAGGTGAACACAATCAAACAATCAGACACACCAGGGAAACTAAGACAGGAAGGCAAACACAGGAAGAAGGAACAGAGAAGACACGAGGAAAACATTTCAAAACAAAACAGGAAACCAGAAAAAGACAAGACAAAACACAACACAGACAGATCGTGACAACAACAGGTATAAAATACATGAATAAAAGCCATACTGCAGTGTGAATTTGAACCACTCATCCAAATGCAGCGTCAAAAAGATACTTTTTTAATCTCGATTTAAAAGTATTAACAGTTGCAGCTGACCTGCAGGATTCAGGGAGTTTGTTCCAGTCGGGGCATAAAAACTAAACGCTGCTTCTCCATGCTTAGTTCTTGACTCTTGGATCAGAGAGCAGACCCGTCCCAGAAGACCTGAGACTCCTGGATGGTTCATACTTCTGCAGGAGATTGTTAATATAATTTGGTCCTAGACCATTTAGTGCTTTAAAAACCAGCAATAGTACTTTAAAATCAATTATTTGGTAGACTGGAAGCCAGTGTAGAGACTTCAGAACTGGACTGATGTGATCCACTCTTTTTGTGTTTGTGAGGACTCGAGCTGCAGCGTTCTGAATTAGCTGCAGCTTTGACCTGTGAAGACACTATTACTATTACTATTAGGTTAGATAATCCCATTGGATCAGCCCAGAAATTGTAATTCTTCTTTAATTTAAGCAGTAAATAAACTGTGGTTTGAATTTATTCTTCAAAAATATGTGTGTCATTTTGGTTTTGAAACATTATTACTTGATTGATTTTTAAATATATGTATAAGTGCTATAAAGCTGAATTACTGTACCATCATTACCAATACTGTGAGTACAGCCAAATGGGTCATTCTGCTGTACAGCATGCAACAGGAAGGGGGTGCTGCTCTTTCACTGCTAATTAAGTTTGATCAATTTCCTGCTGAATTACTGACTGAATTTTGTTTTATCGCTGTCCAAATTAGAGATGTGTGATCCACAGTGGGTGGAAGAAATATTTGAGATATTAGGAGAACTGCTGCTGTGAAATTGAAGCGTTTGTTTACGATTATTTACACAGCTTGCACAATGCATGTGATGGCTGGTGTTTCTTTTTGAATACAAGATAATGGACGTTTCTCATTTTCCGTCAAAATTCCCTAAAGCCCATATTGTCAAACCAACAAAGAATTTAAATGCACTGTCATTAGGAAAGCAGTACATTATTATAACTGAGGGCCATTCAAATGAGTTAAAGAGATTATTGGATTATTAGATTTTAGATGGGTATAAACAATGTTTACCAATTGATTAATCACTTACTGTAGGATGTCAGATCTAAAGGTCATATGCACATTTTGAATCACTGCCCCTGATACTGTTTAATGGTTTAGACCTGAAACTCACATGCTTCAAAGAAGTAACAAATTAAATAATTGTTCATGAAGACTGATTGTTTTATACATATTCTGAACCACAGTGATAAAACACGTATCCAATTTGAAAGCTGTACTTACTTTCCTCCCTTCTTAATATATGTTGATTATTTGATGTGTACGGTTAAAGGGTAAGTGGTTTGCATTCAAACATTACCATTAACTGTACACACACTGAAAAAGAGTCAATGCAATCAGTATAAAATGCTAATAGGCCCTATATCTTTACTCATGTGCCAACTCATGACAGCAAATGAAGGCCTCATGGTTGCCTCTACATCACATTACTATCCCTAACTCAATCAATTACGTCCCTAACTTTCTAATCCGAGGACGTGACAACTCCTCCAATGCTGCAGTAGTTCCTCGACACGCTCTTAGCTCTGGGACCTTTTGGTTTTGGTTTGTTTGTTGGTCCACAACCAGAAAGCTCAGGTACATTGATGTGAAGCTGTGAAACACACTTCCCAACACTGTTAAGACAAATAGGACTGGAAAGATTTGGCAAAGTAAGACAGAAGATTCACCAAGGAGAATGCCGCTTGCATCCCTTGTGAAAAAAAGGGATATACAGAAATACACATTTGGTTTGGATTTCCTTCTTAGTTTTTTATATTTGTAATAGTGCTGCCATATTGTTGTCATTCTAAGTACAACTGTGGTATAGAGTGATTCAAGTTCTTCTTGTAAATGCGACATTTCTACAAAATACAATTAGTTGAATAACAGGGATGCAAACTTGTCACCTTTCGGCGAAATTCGCCGTTTTGATTCCAAAATAGGTCGTTTGTGTGATTCATGTAGATCTGCAATAAAAATATGTTTGGGGTATGGGGGGGGGTCGCGAGCTGTTATGTGCCATCATGACACGCATGGTGTTCTTTTTTTATATATTATAATGAAGCGCGAGCACAAGTCTTCCTGCCTGTCAGCTCTGCTCATGGATGTATAATAAGGCTCTGCTGCTCCGGCATGAGGGTCTAGCTTCAGCAGCTACATTACCTACGGTGCGTTCGTTAATATTAACTGTGCGGGCACAGACTGGACCGCTGGTTAGAACGGGGTGTTCAGAGCAGAGCTCCCTGTCGGAGCGGCAGAGCGTGATGTGCACTGAAAAGTGTTTCTGTCCCAATATTATTTAATGAATCGTTGAGCTAGCTAACTAGCATACATGCATTCAGATCTTGTACTTGAGTAAAAGTAGAAGCACTCAGGTCTTGTACTTGAGTACAAGTAGAAGTACTCAGATCTTGTACTTGAGTAAAAGTAGAAGTACCAGAGTGTAGGAATACTCTGTTACAGTAAAAGTCCTGCATTCAAAATGTTCCTCAAGTAAAAGTAGAAAAGTATTATCATCAAAATATAGTTAAAGTAGCGACAGCAAAAGTAGTCATTGTGCAGATTGGTCCATTTCAGAATAATATATATGATATGTTTTATAATGATTGATCATGAAAGTGTTCTCAAAGCTGGTAAAGGTGCAGCTAGTTTGAATGACTTTGTATACTGCAGGGTAGCTTGTGAATTTACTCCAGGTGGAACTAAAGTCTGATTTAACACTTGATTATATTTCACATCATTCATCCACATCTGTAAAGTAACTAAAGGTATTAAATACATGTAGTGGAGTAAAAGTACACCATTTACCTCTGAACTGTAGAGGAGAAGAAGAACAAAGTAGCAAAACATTGAAATACTTAAATAAAGTACAAGTATCTCAACATTGTACCCAAGTATAGTACTTGAGTTTATGAACTTAGTTACTTTACACCACTGGCTATAAAGATAGAAAGACAGCCTTGCACAGAGGCATGAAAATACATTTCAAAATGCTCAACAGTCCTGCCAAAATTATAAACTGACTGCTACACAATTAAAATAAATGCTTAAATATATTTCTATTAGATGTGACTCTTTGGCGTTTCTGTTATTATTAACTGCTGCTTTAGTTGTTCTGACTGCTAAAATCCTCTGTTATTCCTCATTTTAAAGCCGATATTCCGTGGGGTCGGGGGGCTCGGATCCTTGTCACCTTTTTCATACCTGATGAGTTTGCATCCCTGAATAAAGAAAAAACTATATTTGTATCAAATGCATCACCTTGAAAGTTTATAAAAATGTCCTCCTGAAGTTGTACAAACACTGATATAATACATGAGATATTGTGTCTTTGTGTTAATTACACAGATTGCAAGAATTGTAAATATACATTTTAAATCTCCCTAGTGTCTATTTTACAGCATATATGTATTTTGTACACGATATAGGTATTTTTTACAGCATATGTGTTGTTTTACATCATATATGTTTTGTTTTTTTACATCATATTTGTCTTTGTTACATCTTATATGTCTTTTTCACATCATATATGTATTTTCTTACAGAATGTCTTTTTTTACAGCACATATCATTTTCTTTTGAAATAGCAAGAGTGATACCGTGTTGTTATGAGCCGGTGCATGCCGGGAAAAGTGACGCATCCAGCATGGCGGCTTCCACGGAACAAGATGGAAAGACAGTCAGCTCCTCGGATGTGGATCTATTACTGCACCCTGAGCTGATGTCCCAAGAGTTTTTGCAGCTTGTCTTGTGTGGGGTGAGCTAAAGTTTATAGAGAAACGTGTACAGTGTCGTTGAATGTATAGGTTAAGGAAATACACCCTCATGTTAGCATACCGGCTAACAGTTTGAATGAGCTGAGCTAACAGTGATTTCTTTCTGAATCAGAAAAACGTCAGCACCAGAGGCTGTGATAGTCGGGACCGGCTCACAGAGCTTTACCTGCAGCATGTCATCCCGCTGCCGCAGAGGAGACTACCGGACAGCCGCTGGGGGAGGAGGATGGAGAAGAGCCGAGGGAGGCAGTCCTCAGTCGGGCACAGGTCAGAGAGGCACCGCTGATCCATGTGTGTCTCTAGATATCAATAAACCAGTGGTGGAAGAAGTACTCAGATTGTGGACTTGAGTAAAACTAGCTATACTAAAGTGTAAACATACTCAGTTACAAGTAAAAGTCCTGCATTTAAAATCTGTTACTACACTGGACAAAATCTGCAGTTTTTACATTGAAAGGTCTTGTATTTTTCAATAATTTCCATATAATGTGAGCCAATCAATGCGGACTTGTAGTAATTCCAGTGACATAGAACACAGGTGCGTTGTTTGACCTCACACAGTATCATAGTTATTGCCATGTTAAGTGCAGAACTTTAAACTGGCATTAATTCATCTTAGTTTCACCATCGCACGGTGAGTCAACAAAATACCACAGCCGAAGCAAGAGAATAATCTCAGTGTGAGACACACTTCTCCCTGTACACCTGCTGCAAAAAAGACCCCTTACTGTGAAAATTATCAAATGATTGATGGATTTTTTTGTTTTCATTGTTGGTTTTTTAATTTCCAGTTCCAGTAACGACCACAGCAGGAAACGGCCTCTGATCGTGTTTGATGGCACTTCCTCTCACTCTGGCCCGCTGAAAGTAAAGAAACCAGAGGGAACCGCTGTGTCACCGGGAGCCACTGACAGGTTAAAACCTCCTCCTGCCGCGAACCTGTCCAACCCCGTCCGCAAGATATCAGGAAACACATCCTCCTCTTCCTCTTCATCATCCAGTCTTTGCAGCACTGACACAGCAAATCTCAAACGCGAGGCAAACAGCACGGTAGGAACCTTTAGTTCTGTCATCTCATGCAGATTTACTGTTTTTACTTTCACAAAATAGGCAATTTTTGATATGCAATATATTGAAAAGACAATATAGTATGTATAAATGAACATAAACGTAGACCCATACAATAGCAACACGAAAAACACAATTATGTTCTTAAAGTTGCAAAGAATTGACAAATGAGATCAAATCATTGGGCCAAAAACTGTAAGAAATAAAGTAATTGAAGCTCAAATGTGACCCGCTCTATCGAAATCAGTCGGAAGTCGCCACGGCTCATTTAAAAATAAACCTGGATTTGCGTAAAAAAAATAGTGGTTCGGGGTTCGGGTGTTTTGTTTGATTTCAAATAAACAAAGTCTTGGCTTTCAGAATATGAAACTTTTATTTCCAAAATCACAAGATAAATACATTTTTGAAGCTTGTAAAGGGAAGATGACAGCTTTCCCTCGCCACTCTGCTGTTCCGCAGCGCTGCTTCCCCTCCGTCCGGCTGAAATTATGAATGTAAGGCGTATAGTAATTATAGATAACATGGCAGGGTCCGTTACAGTTTGTTTTCATCTGATTTCAAATAAACAAAGTCTTGGCTTTCAGAATATTAAACTTGTTTCGGCAAATTCAACTGATAAATACAACTTTGAAGCTTGTAACGGCATAATTACAAGCGGGGAACGGAGTAACTTGACGTCACAGCAGGCATAACAACAGTGTTGTTCCTGGGAAACAAACACAATACACACAAACGCAAAATTACACAAACACACACACACACACACACATATACACACATTCGCGAGCTTCCCCCAGGCCAGTAATTCCAAACAAAAACTTATTTTGATAATTTGCTCCACTAATAATCAATCAGATCGATGGATTCCAGAGAGGAGGAAACTTTGAAGGCCTTTTTCTCAAAATGATGACTCGGTGCGCAAAAACAATCCTGATATCATTAGAACGCTAGGAATGTCCTCTTTCCAACAGTGTATACAACTTAAATGTGTCTTCGGGTCAATGCGACCGATTTCGATGGAGCAGGTCACAAATAATTGCAGTCTATGCTAAGAAAATAATGTGCACATTATTTTAAGGCAGATGCTATTTACACCCACGTAGCTAACAATGCTATTGTTGGGTGTTGGCTGGGTGTAAATAGCTGAATAGCTGCCGTGTGTCCATTTTCCCCCGGGTGCAAAAAGACGCTCCGTTTTTTTTTATCTATATATGTAATTTATATTGTATACTATTGGATAGTAACCCATTGATCGATGTCATATTGATGTTTTGTCATTGCTTTTTGTAATGCCAGTTGTCTAATCTTCAATCTCTTCAGGATGAAATGCATTCTCCAGAATCGAAGAAAAAGATCAGCCATGTGACGTGGCCCTGACCTCTGACCCCTGTTACCACAGACCTGATGGGAGCTCACACTCTGAAGGACAGACCGCTCTCCTCCCAACAAATGCTGTCGTCCAGTATCTGTGCTCTCCCATCACAGTTATCCCACTAATCACAAAAGGAGTGAAAATCCTCTTTGCCCTTCATGTGTCACAGCCTTCAGTCTTGAGAGCTGACAGGTAGGCCGGTGCTCTGAAGACCCTCCAGCTTCTGATGTCAAACGTTTCCTCGTTGCTTTCCACAACCTCAAGTGCCCTTACCATCCGTTATCAGCAACTCTCATCAAGTCCATCAATTGAAGACCTTCTAGAGGACAAAACAAGTAACATGACTTTTGTTTTCTGAAATAACACTCATGGAAATTATAGTTGTTATTTAAGTTTTTGTGACGGATTTGGTTTTGATCAGAAAGCTTCCAGTACTGCTTTGAAAGGGGTAAACATGAGTGTGTAATGAGTTGAATTTGATCACCACAACTATTTAGAAATGTTTGCTTGCACCAGTTATCATTGTTATTGAGAAAAAAAGGTGCAAACCATCTGATGCAGCGATGGTGCTCTTGCAAAATACAAGATAACAGAAGAGAGAATTGATACCCTATGAATGACATATAACAGGCACACAGTCCACATACGGCAAGTTAAACTATAGTGTTGTGCTGTCGCAAAGACTACTGGATTGCTTTCCGTATCCTACTGCTATCGACAAATTTAGCAACTTATGAACACCATTAGGTAGAAATCAAGACCTATATTCCAATATGTTCCGTTTTAATTAACTCCCAATGCTGCTCGGAGTAATCGAAGTGCACGGATCTTCTGCCAACAGCCTAACAACCAATATGCAGATCAGTGTTTGCCGTCATCCTAAGCTAGTGCTAGATAGTAAGAGGGCTTCTCTGCATTTAGTTTTACCCGGTAACTTTGGTTGTTTCACCGTCAACTTCTACACTGCTGCGGATAGTAACTGCAAAAATATGCCATTGATAGGGCTGTGCAATTAATCGTATTTTAATCTCGATTACGATTTTGGCTTGCAACGATTACAAAAACAACGTAATCGAAATAAAACGATTATTTTTATTAAAAAAAAAAAAAAATGTAATTATTATTTTTTTAAATATTTTTTTTTATTGGTTTTTCAGTTGAATTATACTTTAAGTTCAGGGTAATCAACTGTTAAAAACATACTGTTCCAATTTTATTTTTCAATAAATGGATGTTTTCAAAGTAAATGGATAATCGTTTTTAATAATCGTGATATCAATTATTGACCAAAATAATCGTGATTATGATTTTTGCCATAATCGCACAGCCCTAGCCATTGGTACTATTTGGTAACTGGAGTTAGCAAACGATAGAATATGCGGTGCTATCCTTTTCCTGTTCTTTGCCCAATAGTTGAAGATCTTTTTGTTTTAGCTGTAAATTGGCCTTTAATTTGCTTGGATGGCACTTGGTGGCAGACAGAAAGGGCTTTTAGAGAATCTAAATATCTAAACACTGATGGAGTCATTACTCTATACAAATTAAATAGTGGAATTAACATTTACTTATCATTATGATGATAAGGGAAAGCAAAAACATGTCTGTTGCCATCTTAACTGGAACTGGGGGGGAAAACAGATTATGTGGGACATTTCAGAAGGTGTGTGTGTGTGTGTGTGAACAGGTAGTACATGTATTTCTTCTCAATGAGCGCCTCCAATAATGTTTGGCTTTATTTAAATCTCAGTGCTGTAATACAAGATGTTCAGGGTTTTTACTCTGGTGTGGTATTGTACATATGTTGCACTTAACATCTGAGGTAAAATAATTTTCTAATCGTCTCAATAGTAATCCGCTGCTAAGAAATGTTCACATGTTTCAATATCATGTTTTAATAATTCAACAAAAGAAAGTAATATGGATTTAAGCAGCAATATTGTCTTTTTGAAGTATATTTATTTAGAATTGTAGATACAAGAGTCACACAGCATTTTTAGTCGTCATGTTTGTACTAACGGTTTTTAAAATAAATGTCTCGATACAATGAATATTTTCTTGATTCTAATAATAGAAACTCGGCAGCTTTGTGACTCATGTCTGATATGCCGGTATGATAACATATACTGTACTTAACTTACTCTTAAACTAACCTTGTGGTAAAAAATATTAAATTCATTTTAAGACGTCTAGGACACGCCAATCTTGCATAGGTTTTGTATTAAAAGAGTTGCCTAAATAAACCCTTGTTTGTGTGAAATACATGTGGTCTCGTGCACTACAGTGGGCAGTAATCAGAGTAAAGACACACTTTAATATATTTAATTGGTAAAAGCACAACTCCTTCACATCAAGCTAGTCCATGCACAAAGCAATAATTATTAACACGTCAAAGCGGATAGGCTATATAATCATCGTAGATTTATTTCAAAATGCTTTATTCAGTGTCTCTGCAAACTTGTTGCTGTTTCATATTCAATAAGCAAAGGTCTTCACATTAATGCCAACACTTATTTTATTTGTGATAACTTTTCTTATAGAGTTAACATTTAACATAAATAAACTTTCTAAATCCAAATAATGCTGTTAGTAGTTTTTACTTCGTGGCATTTAACAATGTACATTCATAGTAATGCTAGGTTTTAAAGATGCTATGCACTGTGCTCTGATATAGGTATATATTGTATCTCTGTCATTCCTCTATCCTCTATCGCCAGTTGGATGTGCTCCTCTCCTTCAGACTGAGTTAGATGTCCTTGCCGCACTCTGGGCACAGGATGTCATCTCGCTCGGTGAGGAAGCCACGGCCAACCAGAGACACGGAGCACTTCTTACAGTTGAAGCAGTCGTTGTGCCACTGGCGCTCCTCAAAGGAAATGTACTTGCTGCCTCCGAGGCCTGAAAAGATAGGAACAAGTCCAAACATTTAAGCATTTAATAAAACACTCCTTTTTAGATTCAAGGAGACCCATGCATAATGAATTAAATTGTGATTACCGCTAATGGGGGTGGTGCAGGAGGCACACTTCTTGGCATAGAGGTTGCAGAAGCAGTTGAGACAATAAGCGAAGTCATCCCTGGAGGTAAACCTCTGGCCAGACAGCTGCTGCTTGCAGCTGGTGCACAGGAAGCAGTCCTTGTGCCAGGGCTGGTCACGGTAGGTCACACCGCCAGTGGTGATCGGCTGATGAGAGGGAACAAGCGTGTCATATTGTTACACATACAAGTGGAATCATTGCTCCTTGAGTTTAGATGGAGAATTGAGTACTTGGTTCCTACCTTCTTGCAGTGCACACATTGCATGGCAAACTGCTTCTCGTAGCAGGGCACACAGAAGTTACTGTTGTCCTTAGGGATGAAGCTCTTGGTGCCAATGGGCTGCTGGCATCTCTGGCAGGTGAAACAGGTCTCATGCCAGCTGTTCCCCTTGTGCTCCATCTTCCTGGAGCCTTCAGAGAAACACAACGGTAAAGGAATGGAAGGAGTTGGTGAAAGGATGCAAAGACAACTAAAAGAAAACATCAGAAACTTAGCCTAAAACAAAGGGGACAGTATATTCCCATGGTGCTCAGACATGTGTCCTGACTGATTGTGTTGTGGCAAATCAACTCTCACAACAGGAAATAATTAAACACAAACACAGAAATAGTTGAGATGAATCATTTAGTTGCGCACCACCAAACAACAATGGGGAAACATTACCTGCCCTCAAGCAATCATACAGCAATGCTCCTCCCACGAATACAAGAAACACAGGGCAGATTTCTAAATGACACACGAACATGTTCCCGAAACATGTTTAACGCACACACATTGTCAGTTCTCCTAAACTTGGACATGTTCCAGATGTCAAAAGGTCATCATCTCGTGACGTCTTTAGGAGTCTTGCAGGATATGAATTATCCAATTAACAAAGACTTAACTGTTTGCACATGAACGCACATACATTTCTTCCTTACATTAACTAACACTTAACTGTATTATATCTAAATGTAGCCTCTTTGCATTTCCTCTGAGCTTGGCGTCAGCTCACTTAACGTAATAATTAGCAAAGAGACGATTCTCTAGAAACTGTAATTCAATAACATACCTAGTTACTATGACTAGGTCCAAAACTGATATAACAATTGCTCTGCACATGTCACCTAACAAAGTTACACTAATTTGTTACATATAGGTCAAACATAACAGAAACCTTTAGGAGAATTGAAGGCGGTCATGTGCAAAGCATTCACCGACTCTTCTCTTTCTGACGCTCACACATATACCGTGACTGTTTTTGCTCAATAGCTCAGTTGTTTAGTTGATCCACAAACATTTCCCAACCCTCTGGTGGAATCAGTTTTTTCCTAAAATGCTGAAATATGTGTTTGTGAAGGTTTGTGTTGATGCCAATTGGCTAAATCAGTTTGTGGTGGTGAGATAGAAAGGGGCATATAATCTAGTCGTACCATGGCCAATCTGTTGTACATTTGGCCCCGCTCACACGGGACCGTTTGCGTTTATGCACAGTATGCGTATTCAAAAAAGTCTTCCGTTCACATGCATTTGTGTTTCATTTAACGTGTCTGTTCAAACGAGACCGCTGGAAACGCTGTAGTACATATGCTGGGACTGTAAGTGGCGCTGTAACTTCCGCCAAAATAGACCAAAAGCCGCGAAGAAGAGCAACCGAGCAGCCCGCTGCAATGTTGCCATGGCTACCCTTCTGTTTAAGCCCCGAAACTGAAACTGAAAGAAACTGAAAGAAACCGAATCTGTGGATATTGCATCCCCCAAGAAGCACGTCTCCGTGGAGAGGACGGCTCAGAAAGAGAGAGATATTCTCTACAAACACCGGGTGAGATCCTCCTTTGTCAATATAATGGATCAATGCATGAAATCTGACTCTGTTTATTTTGTTTAAGGAGTATATTGGGCGTTAACAATTCTGGTTTGCCTTTTATAATATTATTTCATTCAAGAACCCCTTGTGCGTTTGATTAACACAGCTATTTTTGATAGTTGCTTCAGCAGTGAGCAGGAGAGGTGGGGCTATCGTTATTGTTTCAGGAAATATTCGTATCGAGGTGATTACACGGACTCGGTTGACCCCCCAGAGCGTTTCGTTTGCAAATCTATCCACCTTGGGACCCGTTATTGTTTGTGGGGTCAGTTTCTATCGGCCTCGTGTAAATAATAGGGCTATACGCACGCGAAACTATGCAGATACAAGCAGTTTTCTCCTCGTGTAAACGGCGCAAGGCATCATTGCAATCAGCATTGATCATTTTTCATTTGCAACCTACAATTAAGACCCGCCCCCTTTTTATAACTCTGAACCCTTTGTTGTGGACTCCCTAGATGCATGTGTCTAGTCGTTGCACATGCTATTTTGAGTTTGTGCTTGTTTCATATCAGAAATTGGATTTTCCTACGTGTTGCGTCTACTACCTGTTGTTTAAACTTTAATATGTGGCACTTTTTCTGTCTTCCTACCTGGCATGATGGTTTTCTTGCACTGGTGGCACTTGGAGGAATATTCATTGGAGTAGCACTCGGTGCACAGGAGCTTTTCATCCTTGGTGGAGAAGGGCTTATCCACCAGCGAGCGCTTGCACTGGAAGCACATGAAACACTCCTCGTGCCAGTGGCGGTCCTTGTACGACAGATCCTGCGAGAACATCAGACGGATAGTTAGAAAGAGCCTACTTTGATGGTTTTAAGGACAGAATTAAACAAAAAGAGCGTGTTGTTGTGGCTCGTATATAAAGTGTATTTTGTGACATCTCTTACCCTGGTGTTGCAGCCAATGGGCTTCTTGCACTCCTCGCAGGTGTTGGAGTACAGGCTCTCGTAACATTTCACACAGTAAGGATTCTCCTCTCTCAGAACATACTTCTTCCCAAACAGGGATTCCTTGCAGTAGTGGCAGTCGTAGCGCTCGGTCATTTTGAACCGGAGTCACTCACCTGAGAGAGAGGAACACACAAAGCAACAGATACTGAGAGGAGAGGAAGTATTCTGTCAAAAGCATGTGACCCATCTGGTTCATTTAGCATTTGGAACAGCTTCAATGAGATGATTTTCCACAGCCTATTCTCCAAACAACATTAAGGTTTTCAGACAGTTTCATGATTTGCCGATTCCCTTTAAATACATAATTGCAGTGGCACTGACACTCAGCAGAAAGCAATTTGTCGTACATCGTAAATTTCACATTTTCCAAGACTACTAGTTTTGTTCCTTCCATTTTCCTCCCTTATATCTCTAAGCCGTCTTTCATTTTCTTCTCGTTGTCACAACGAGAAGGTGACAGATGAGGAGGGTATAAATAACCCCTATCAGGCCTGCTTGGAGACAGTCAACTTTGGCCCCCTTTGCATACCGCCGCTCGCCATGCTGTTGTACACTGACCCATCCATCACCTCACGTCCAGCTGTCAGCACCAGATCACTGTGTCCCTTGTCATCATGCAGTGTGTACGTGAGTGTGTGTGTGTGTGCATGGGTTTGAATGGCACTTGTAATAACGGCTACTCTCAATCTGCAGCTGTTTGCGGGCGGCCTGTTAAGCCCCCTGGTTATCCCACCTGTGTCTAAATTCTCTTACTCTCTGCGGACTGAGGATAGTGTAAGCTATATATTTGAGTGTGTATGCAGTATGAGCGGTAGAGAGAAGAAACAAGCAGGAGTAAAGCTGTCCAGTGTACATGCAACCCAAAGCATTTTGCAGATATTAAACGAATAATGTACTTGGAAAGGCTTTGACAAAATAGGAAGGCTAGAAAAAAGAATACAACCATTCAAATGTATTGAGAAAAAAATGAAAACCAAACTTTATTTCCCATTTCTTGTCACCACTCTTTCGTTTACTGTATTTTCTTTCATTCCTGTTATAAATGGGGCTGCTCTGTTTCCTCTGTTGTTATTCCTTTTATCTTACTGTTTCATTGTGCCTGAGCTTCTCACACTTTTTGGATCTATTTGCGACCACTGTGTATTCCCTCCTCAGTGATCCCACAGGGTGATCTCTGAGTGATTTGTAGACGTTGGTATCTTTTATCTGGCCGAAGTTGAGACGTATAATCTGCCTGTCCTTTCTGCTGCCAGTTATTCTCAACCCCTCCCCACATTCCCTCATTGTCTACTGCTCCCACCATGACTCACCTAGCTTATATAAGGATTTATCTGACTCCTAAAAATAAAAAAAGGATAATCTCGACTGCCACAAATAAAACCTTCAGCTATTCAGACACATAATGCAGCTGTTTCCCAGCTTCGGGGGTCTCTTTGATGTTGCCCATCTGGGAGTCTCTCAGTGCAAATCGCTTAATGCCAAACTGAGCGATGGCTTCATGGAGTGTTTGCCCACCGTGCAGCCCAGAAAGTTGTAACTCTTAAGGACACAGTTTGGTGGTTTATTGTCCAGGTTTAGCAAGAAATGTAGTTGTGAATCAAGCTATAAAAAGATGCATTTCAGTTCCTTATATGGCTCAAGAAGCCCTAAGATCCGTGATGATCTTTGTCATAATTCCACATTTTTTAAGGATCCATACGTCTCTCTAACAATCTTATCCAACCATCTAAAGAAATCAAATCATAAACCAGTACCTTCTCCAACTTTGACCTTTAAACAGCTTGCTCACATCATTTTCTGTTCCTCCAAACAATTCAGTACAAACAACAGTCACTAATAATAGCCTTGTGAGTGAATAATGGAATTAAATGTTCAATCAAATTAAGCTCTTAATTGACAATGTTCCTGCTAAAACCTTGAGTTACCGTTCTCAAGGAAAGGAAATGTAGCTAAATTAATAGTTTGCTGTTCAACCAGACGCATTCCAGCAATTGTAAAATAAAAAGGTAACGGGTATACAGTATTCCTCTTCTATGGAGAGATATTTACAGAAACATTTCAAATCATCAAGTTGTTGTATTTACATATATTTTGGTGCATTTGAAAAGTTTCACTGCAAGATTTTCTACAGAAAATGCTAGAAATTCCACAAAAAAAATAAGCAATGCAACAGTCAGCATACGTGTATACTACTAATTGAGGAGCTGACACCTTTACTAACACAGTTTTGCTGAAGTGTGATGAAAAGGGAGGAAAGAAGGGTTGAAATGATAACAGGGGTTTCGTGTTTTTTTGGGAGAAAGATGATAAAAATGGTTTAAGAAAATTGGAAGTCAGACTTTCTCTGACACGAGGATAGAAAGTAGGGAGTGAGAAGAGGCTGTGAAAAAGTGGAGGTACTGTGCAGGTGGAAAAGAGGGAGAAAGTGGGTGGGGAGGCAGACAGGTGGAGCACAGTGAGCAGCTGTGTGTCCGAGGAATGGAAGACATGGTGGGTGAAGACCAGTGAGAGGATGGATGGAGGGAAAGATGGACAAGTGGATGGATGGAGCAGTTGAACAAAGTCTTACCTTCCTGTCTGAGGAGTGTGTGCCTGTGCGGAGTCTGGGGCAGACTGAGCGAGGAGCGCTGTGCGAGCTGTAGTCACTCCTGATTGCATTACTCCACCCATCAGAGGCTAATTGAAAACAGGGGAGGGGCGACTGAGAGGGTCAGAAAAAGGGGGGTGGGAATCTTTTTTGAGATGATCTATAAATACAGCGGCGCTTCACAGAGATAACCCCCAGGTCCCCTTTCTCATTCAGTCGCCGGCGAGACCGTTTGGCCTTTTAAGGTCACTCTGTTGTTCACTCACATCCTCACTCACTCACATAAATGTCACTTTATTTTTCTAGTATTTGTGTTTCTTCTCACAACCGCCTTATCGCGTCATCCCTCCCCGTCCCACTTCCTGGAGAGAAGCAACTGTTTTCTTTGAATCAGAGATATTTGTTATCGTTTGGCTATCATAATACTGCACACACAAACACACACTGTTACATAACGCCACAATCTTCCTATGGCTGTTTGATACATTAGGGAAAGGACGCCGAGGGTCAAACGTCAGAGATTGTTGTCCTGTGAGACTTGTCTCTACTCATGTGTCTCATCTGTCTTTACCTCCCTATATTTCTCCTCACAGGGGAATACGCATTTAATCCTAAAGCTCCGACGTGTGGGGTACAGTGTCCAGGCCGGCTACTGACAGACACGCGCTCTGGTTTCTAAGAAATTTGTAGCACCATTTTTTGTGACCCCACACTCTCTCTTTTTTCCCCCTGCAAAACCCACCCGCAATCCACCTCTCTCTCTCAGGTCTCCCTGGCCCTATAGTCTCTGGACACTCTCCAGTGAGAAAATGCGTCACTAGAATCAAGTGCTCTATTTAAAGACCACCAAAGACCCATTGGTGCTTTACAAAGTGTGTGTCCATTTGTTTATGTGCACACATTATGCTCATAGGTGTGGTATATATCATACTGTATATTCAAATAGTTATTTTAGTCAGACTGAAATATCTCAACATAAGGTAAAGTATTAGATTGATTGCATACATGTTGAACAGCCCACAGAATAAATCATTTTAAAGGGGCCCTATTGTACTTTTTGGGGTTTTCCCTTTCCTGTAGTGTTTTTTGCATGTTAATGGTCTGCAAAGACTAAAAGTTCCCTCCAGAGGGAGTTTCTCTCCCACACACTCCTACGTGATAGGCTAAGGGGCAGGACATCTCTAAGTGGTTGAACTGATCACAACAGAGCCGGCCAGCTAACCAATCAGAGCAGACTGGGCTCTGGTTTCACATTGGCCCCTTTAACATTGATTACATTTGTGGTTTTATGTGACATATCCCAACAACTTTTGAATGGTTTGTCATGACATTCAAAACACACGTTCATGTTCCCTTCACGATGAAATGTAAGAACTGTTTTTTTTTTACTTTCATCTAGCAAGCGCATCAATCAGGTGACAATTTGTTGAATACTTTCACTTTTGATTTTATAACTAATAAGAACTTTTAAGAACTTTAAAAAGACTAATTTGTGTTAGTAAGAGCTAATAAGTACGTATGTTAGCATTCTGAAATACTGAACATTTTTATTATACCCACTTTTTGAACATGCTAATGTTTAGTATTTTTGCTCAAACAAAATAACGTGTGGAAGTACAGCCTCATGGAGGTAAACAACGTTCTTGCTGAAAAAGCTATATTAATAAAAACAAATACCATAATGGGGGTGCAGTTGTTTCATCAAAACCATAGGGCTTTTTGTAATGCAAAATGCAAACTGAAACTAGAACTTCACCAAAAGAAACTTTGGATAATTTAAATGTAGATAATAGCTAAGCACTGCTGTCATAGATACAGTGGACAGATGTTTCCTCTCAGGTCTGACACAGGCAGCTGGGAAGAACAGGAGTCTGTGGCAATATGTCTAGTTCAGGAAATTCAAATCATATGGCAGTTTATCAGACATAAAAAAATGATAGCTCTCGGAGGACGTGATTTGATTTGATTTGATTACTCTGCCTACAGACATGTCTTTTACATGAAACGCATTACAGTAATACTAAGTGCTTTACACAGGCATAGAAAAGCAATCATCTCAGTTCACCTAATTTCTGGAACGTGATTTAATTATAGATCAAACTTTTTCATACCTAATCGTAATACTGCCAGAAAGACCCTGCCCTAGCATGCCCTCAGTCCTTGCCCCTCAGACCTGAGCCGTGTCTTGCTGGGACACAGTTCCCCTCCCCCCCTGTGCTCTGGATGGAGGCCTCCTCTCAGCTGCTAAGGCCAGGGGATAACAGTGCAGCTGTCTGGGCACTGCAAGGCTATCGTGATGCTAAAGCCTGGTCTTACTCATGCTTCAAATACAGCCGTGAGGAAAGGTCAAGCACGGCAGACCCCATCATCAACAGTGAACCGTTAATCATTAATGCCACAGCACCCAATTGGACTGGAATTTTTCTGGGTCACCCAAGATCCAATATGATCCTCTGGAAGAACTTCACTGCACTGCCTGTCTAACTGGTTGAAATGGATCCCAGCGACTGCCTTTAAAGAACGTGCAGAGTCATAATGAAGGTCTCACATGGGCAATTAGAGCTGATGAAGAGAGACCGAATCCGTTTTTGGCTCCCACTGTGGGAGTAGGGAATATTAGCAGTTTAGCAGGTGTCTAAGATCGTCTTGATTTGAGGTTGAAGACTCACTACACTGGATAATCTGCACAAAAAGAAATTATTTTGGCTCTTGTGCTTTCTTTGTTAGAGTGAGATTAGAAGATAGTTCAATACACAGTTAATAGCAGGTGATTTATTTAATTTAGCACAAAGACTGGAAACATGTAGCCTGACTCTGTCCAATGGTAGTGGAGATATGCCTTGCTTTTGATTTTACACTATACACCTGTAAAGAAATGCCAAATAGAGCCAGGGGGGTACATTCTGGGCATAAAGTTTTGGGGGGCAATGGCCCCCTGTCCCCCTCAAACCACGCACATTTCTGACTTCAATCTTCATTCTGACTTCAACTACACACCTGTTTCAAGATGCCACATTGGACCAGTGTGTGTGTGTGTGTGGTGTGTGTGTGTGTGGTGTGTGTGTGTGGTGTGTGTGTGTGTGTGTGGTGTGTTGTGTGTGTGTGTGTGTGTGTGTGTGTGTGTGTGTGTGTGTGTGTGTGTGTGTGTGTGTGTGTGTGTGTGGTGTGTGTGTGTGTGTGTGTGTGTGTGTGTGTGTGTGTGTGTGTGTGTGTGTGTGTGTGTGTGTGTGTGTGCAGGGGGAAGCATGGCACTTTGGCCCCCATTGACCGGACCACGCCTTCATTTTGATCTCAAACATTTTGTGACCTCATATTGCATGGATGCAACACTTTTGCAGTGACAACATGTGACCAGTGGCTATTCTAGAGTCTGTGGGGGCCCTAGGCAAACATTTACTGGGGGCCCCTCGAACCAGCTTTTCATCACCACGCACAGCCGACAGCCCCCCCGGAGTAGAGTAAGGCAACGAAACCTAAGATAAGAAGCAGCATTTTACGGCGCGCTATGCATGGGGCCAGTTACAGCAGGTGTGTGCAGGAACAAATAATTGCCATAATGACACAAACACACAATGTGAAAAGCAAACTAGCATCGATGTTGAGTCGAGTAAAAATGACATGTTAAGCTTGCTGAGTTATTGCTCTCAGCATGTGATCGTGCACACAGGTCATCTTTATAACACAACATATTATTGATTTGTATTTCTTGCTAAGTATCAATTCTGCTTTCAACAGTACAGTGTTGTCACTGACCAACTGTTTTAATCAAATAGGAAGCGAATAAATACTTAAGTCTGTGTTCCTTGTGAATGTCCCGAAATCGCAGTGAGGGAATTTCCTTATCTAATTTCCTTCTACAGTTTTACTATGTTTCTATCCAAAACACAGGAATTTGAGTAGGCATATGGTTATTGTGCATGATTAGAATTAAGCCAAATGTTGCTAAAACTTGCTCAAACATTTCTACTTTATTATTATTTAATAAGACATTTTTTCTTTGTACATCATGAGGTTCCCATGGGTTGTACAATATGTGAGAAACATTTGTAAAATTCAAAAAACAAATCTCGTCACAAAACTTGATTATGAGGTTTCATGTGACAGCAGACATTAATTATTATAAATACATGTATGTCGTATGGAAAATATGTTGATTGTGTTTATTTGTCTGAAGAGATCAGCTGATTCTGTTGTACAGGACATTTCCTCAGCACATTTTTTCATGCATACATTCACCCTTCAATAGAGTGGTGCAGGGATGACGTATTTTTGTAGGCCGACCCGGAAGTAAGCTGCGCATGGGTTCCCTCGACAAAAAAGCAATGGGATTTCTCCATGGGATTTTTGAAAATAGCTCGAAATAAGGTGGAAAACAAACCTGTTTGATAAATGCACGTTTTGTTCAGCCGGATAATATCCACATGTCTAATCACCAGAAGCAAAATGCTAACGTTATGCTATAAACGAACTACAGCTGTGTTCAGCAGGGTCGCACGACCTCAACGTCACGCCAAATTAAAGGTCCCATGTCATGGTGACTTCATCCTCGAGGTTGACGGCTGCTCCATCTCCCCATCTCCTGAAGCCCGCAACCTGGGTGTCATCCTCGACTTCCTTCCACTCCCACGTCAAGTCTGTGACCAAATCTGCCTTTTGCCATCCAAGGAACATTGCCAGACTCCGACCGTCACTCTCGGAGTCGGTTGCCGAAACCCTAGTCCATGCGTTTGTCACCTCCCGCTTGGACTACTGCAATGGTGTCCTGTTTGGGGTTCCCAACAAAACCCTGGACAGGCTCCAGTACGTTCAAAACTGTGCTGCTAGGGTACTCACAAATACAAAGCCGTGGCAGCACATCACTCTCACCCTCATCCACCTCCACTGGTTGCCGGTCAAGTCCCGCATATCATTCAAAATCCTCCTCCTTACCTACAAGTCCCTCCATGCCCATGCCCCCCCGTACCTATCGGACATCCTCCACCCACATGCCCCACCCCGGAACCTGCGGTCTTCAGACTCTGGCCTGCTTACCACCCCCCGCACCAAACTGCGAACCTTCGGGGACAGATCC